ATTTTAGTTGCAGATGGCCATAGCCCACCATACTATGCTGGAGTTGAACTGGCAACCTTTTTGTTAGGAGCACATGCTCTCACCAGCTCAGCCATCCTGCCACCTGTTGGCAGCTTAGTGGCAGCCCAGCTTGGGCGCAGCTCACTGGCCCATATGGGAATTGAACTGGCGACCTGTTGCTCAGAGCTTGCACTCTTAACCAACTGAGCCTCTTGGCCGGCCCAAAAGACAACTCTTTTCTTAGGAAAGACATTAAATGATTATGAACAATAGTTACATTTTTGCAATGAGAACCCACATCTTCTGTCAGCACACTCCTGACCACTAAACAGTGTGCCCGGGCCCCGTGCAGGACTTGGGAGCTCTAGAACTCCAATCCCTTGATTTGGAAACAAGACTCACTTCCCAGAAGTCCTAGGTAAACCAGGCCAACTAAAATACCCCTTCAGGCAGGTCAGCCCCTTTGGACATATTACTGAGCATCATTGTGAACTTAGAGTTTTCCGTAGTTTTCCCAAGCATATTAGTGTGTTGGATGTTAATAAAACTTGGAATGAGAAATTGACCCAGAAAGGAAGAACTAAAGAAACAGTATACAAAATTAAGTCAAAACAGAGGAATTAAAAATAATCCATTTCCACATCTCCTATTACAGCTTCATTTATAGGGCCCTCTTTTAGAAACAGAGACTGTAGCATTAATTTTCATGACATTGGAACTTGAGTTGTGCCAAAACACAATAGGGAAACCAGAATTATTTGCAAAGGCCCTCAGGCATACAAGATGCAACTGTTTAAGGAGAGCAGACTTTTAAAGTGCTTCAAGTTTGAAAAATGCACTTTTTGAGTGGAAAAGTTCTAAATATTTTCTTGTTAAAAAGAAAACCAAATTACAGGCATAGTTGACCCATTCATGTTCAAGTACTCAAATGAAACAAATAAACAAGCAAACAATAATCACACCACAGCAAATCTGTGGCTTTGCGAAGTTGGGAAGGGCTGATCTCATTCTCTTTCCATCTTTGCAGTGACAACTCCATCTTGTGGGCCTTTTCATACATGGCGGCTGGATGCTAACAGTTACCAAGTTACTAGGAGAGAACAGGAAGTCCAGGCCTGGACCTAATGTTCTAGATGTAGTGTAAGCTCTGCAGTTTATCTCACACATGTCCGTTTTCACCTTTGAATGATTAATTCTATGTAAATGAGGATGTAGTGGACCCATTAAGGTATTGTGAAATTAATCCAGGACCTACCAGAAGAGAAAAGGATTGTATGGGTCCATGGAAGGAATTTAACTTGGCAAGAGTATTAGACCACCAGACATTAACTGATTAAAACTCCGAGAAGCGAGTGATTACACAAGGATGTGTTTACAAGGGAAAGGTAAGACCTGTAATTTTAGACCAGTTACAAACAGTTACCCTTACATGGCAAGCGTGCTGAGTTAGAGAAAACTGGCTAGGGTTCCATCTCACTCACTGGGAAGCTATTTCATCCCTGAGGGCAAAGTGCCGATTATGCCAACCCTACCTTAGAGGGTGGTTTTGATGAGCGGATGAAAAATACACATGAGAGTGCTGTGTGGGCCCCACCGTGTGGGTTCAGTGAGAAGTGACAATGCATGATGTTGGAGTATTAACTTCCAGCAGCTCATTATTGATCTGAAATCTCGACACAAGCAGCTCCCAGGGATCATTTGCCTCAGATCCTGAATTTAAAACAAATTTGACCTGTATTCCGTGTTCTGATCCTCGTCTGTGTGTTGTGAAGTGT